TAAGGGTCTTCTCAATAATAGATTTCATGCAGTAAATGCTAGTGATTGAAGACTGGTATATTTGTGAGATGCCATCAAGAACATTACACACAAAGAAAGTAAGAAGTAATTAAAATGACATTAAACGGAAAGACAACAATGAATGTCAAAGGAAAATCTGAAGCATTTTCTTGAGTGAGGAGTAGCTCAAGCTAACGCAAAAATGTTGTAGCAGAAGAGGTGAACACAGTATTTCAATGGGAACACGAGGGAAAGTAGTATAATGAAATATGGAAATACCTGGAGTTTTAAAACAAAATGGAAAAAAATGATCATCATTTCTCAAAGTAGAGAACAATCTATTCTTGAGATGTAATATGGTAAGATTCTTAATGGGTTAAAAATAGATAGATTCAGAAACCATAAAAAACGGGGAGAGTATTCCGAGTCATTGTATTAAAAAGAATTGGTTAACATTTAACCATTTCACGAGCTAACATATGATCAAAAACCACTTAAAATAAGTGGCTCAGAGCTGCATTGAGAGCACTGGCAAAAAAAAAAAGAGGTTTCATAAATTGGTAAAATGCCAGTTGAGATGCTTTGACAACAGGTGCAACATTGGAAACTGTTATTCAGACATGTAAAAAACCACTGATTAGAAGCAATACATATTTGTGCCCATACCAAGGAAATGGGATCAAACAGTATTGAAACTAGACAATAAGACTAATATCACCTCATAACAAAGTATTCCGAAGCTATTCCCTGAATAGCTGTAATTGTGCATAGACAAGGAACTGACAGAAGACAATATGCAACAAGAAGGAGGATGGTTGAAAAATGATGGAGGCAAGGCAAGCCATTGGAAGATTTGGAAGTGTTTAAGGCAACAGTAGCAAATAATGTTATGTACATAACCCTGTAATAGGTGTGACCCAAGACTCTTGAAGATGCATATAGGCTGAACAGATGTTGGAGAGAGTGGGATTAGATCCACAGATATAAGGAGATTTATTAAAAATCATTTTATTGGGGGCTCATGCAGCTCTAATCATAATAATATATATATATATATATGCATACATAGTGTCAGTATTTCTATCCTAAAGGACATTTTACATGAGTAGAGACTGTGGTCTCTCTTCTCCAATACTCTTTTACTCACACCACTCTCTTTTTGTTCTTTTAATTTTATTACTTTTATTGGGGGCTCTTACATCTCTTATCATAACCCGTGATATAAGGAGATTTGAAAGATAATAGTTGTATATTGTATTTATCATTGCTGCTAATATGTCCATGAATGTAGTGGAGCATAACGGGAAAAGTTATGGATACTTCCGAGACATAACCAAACTCTTTGAAGGGATGAGTTCCCAGGCCTGGGGCATCAGAACTAGTTTCAGAGGAAACCAAGGTTAATTGACACAACATAAAGACATCCCATTCTACTTGTGATTGGATATGTAACAGCTTGTGAGCAGCATCTGAAATGCAGCCATTGGTCTCTTCCCATATGGAAGAAAGATGAGTGATGGGACTTGAAAGAAATGGAAGTAATTAGATCAATGAACCTGAAAACATCAGTTTGAAACCACCCTGAAACTAGCACTAGATGGTGCACAGCTGCCACTACTAACTGCTTTGAAAGGGATTACATAAGAAGGCCCTGTATCAAGTGGAGAAAAATGTGGCACAATAGTCAAAATTATAATAGAGACCTACTATTCTGAATGAGTCTATGACTATTAGTCATCCTTCAGGTCTGAAACTGAACCCCCATGCATGGTAAAATAATCAACCATTTTAAGATCAAAAGGGCAGGAGTACCCAAAATCAAAGTCCAGAGAGTTAGGAAAGAAGGAGAATAAAAATGGGAAACACAGGGAGAAAGAGGAATAAGCAATATTTTTAATGCATCTAGGTTGAACAGGTGTTGGGGAGAGTGGCATTAGGTCCACAGATATAAGGAGATTTGAAAGATGATAGTTGTATATGTGTATTTATGACCGATGATACATTCCATAAACTGACATAAAATTCACAACATAATATTTTTAAAAACCAAATGAGATTTAGAGGAGAATGTATAATGAAATATATTATTGCTGATATCAGCTGGATCTTGGATACAAGGGGACTTACTAACTTTATAGGTTCAAACATATCAATTTCTATTGATTCTGTATATTAAGTAATGCAATTGGAGATTGATTCAGTAATTTGATATAGGTGTAGAAAATGTTGCACAATGACAAAGTAACTCAGTAACTCAGGATCTTGGCTGAGAGCAAAGAATGGTAGCTAGAAACACACCTGCGTTATTTCAGCTATATGAAAACATTTGACTGATTTGAGAGTAACAACATCTAGATGCCATTGTGAAGAGAGGGAATTCCAGAACACTCACAGGTATACATGTAAACTATGTACATGAATCAAGGAGCAGTCATTGGGGAGAAAAAAAGATACTATGCAGTTTGAAATAGTGCATGTGGCAGTTTGTATTCTTTCATATTACATATTCATATTTTTGCTGAAAAAATAAACATAAACTGGGCTATATGAAGATGAATATCATATCAAGATTGGAGGAAGGCTCATTAACAATCTGAGATATGCAGATTACCCAACTGCAGATACCAAAAAGGAAGACAAATTGAAATACTTACAGTTGAAGATCAAAGACTATATTCTTCAGTGTGGATTATATCTGAACAAAAAGACAATGATTTAAACAGCATCCAAAAAAATGGCAAAGTACATGAAATTGCCAAAGGTTTCATTCTTCTGAATAATCAATGCGCATGGAAGCAGCTGTCAAGAACTGTCCTCAGGCATTTGGGCGTATCCCAGGAACCCAGACTGGGTGCCATAGAACACTGACACACTGAATCCTGCATTGTTGGGGAGCCAATAAAGGAGCATGGGTGAGCCCCATACCGGAAGCTCACTGGGTGAACTGGCGTCTACCTCAGACACACTTGTAACCTATGGACGTAGCCGGAAAACACGTACTGTCCAAGGAAATAGAAGACAGCTGTACCAAGAGTGGTGGACTGTTGGTTGGCCAACAAATGAGATTTTGCTATATCAGTGCCCTGTCTTATAGTATTGAGACCTCCATATAGTACAGAGCCTCTTGTTTATACACACACAATAAAATGGACAGTGTTTTCATCTTGAATGTTCTAAGCTCTCTAGGGAACACTTCAAAAGGAGCACCTGGCATGCAAGAGACAAATGGCGTGTATCACTTCTTGAGAACAAGAGACAAAAGGAGCAAATTGTCTTAGAGATAAGCATCCTTTAACAGTGCATGTGAGGAGCCAGGCATCTGTAGGAGACTGCTGTATATGATTATTTCATGGAGGGTAGACGTGGAGAAGCATCCTTCCTGAAGCATATGTGCACTTGGCTCTTTCCATTATCTCTGACTGTGAAGGCATGCCTCTCACTAGGTCTGGAATGCCTAGACCAGTGGCCACAGGTGCTGGGAGCTGGCCACATACACTTTCTTCCAGGCCCTTCCTGCTTCCCACAGAGGGGACTTCAAAAAGCTCATTGAGAAGTGGAACTAAAAGATAATGGAATTTTTCAAAATGAATTTTTTAAAGCCTTTTCATATTGCCTGATATTAGTTTGGACTAATGTTGAATTGTCAGCATGTAATTGTTGAATTACACTTCGAAAGATAGTTGGCTACATACTGTTTTTGTTTCTTTAAAATTATCCTTATTTAAAAAAAACATCCTTATTAACTACAGAGATTGGTTCTTCCTAGTCAACTTTGTAATACACAGTTCACTTTGTTAAAACTTCATAGCTAGCTGACTCTGTTATTCTCTGTGTAACAAATATATGAATTACATTTGTGCATTTTTGTGTCATCTTAACAATTTATAGCTAAATTTTGTCTATTTTGCTTTTTAATGTAAGTTGAGAGACAAAACATAGGTCCATGAGACCAAAACATAGGTCTACACACTTTTTTTAGATCAATAAGTTGACCCGATATTTGCACTTAGTTGTTAAGTAAGCAATTATATTCCTCTATGCTATCGGTTAAGCGCCAAATTTTGAGATGGATCCTGTCCCTGCACAAGAGTTTACAAATTACTGGAAAGCTATAAATATATGCTTACAAATAAGGAAATTTTAAAGTGGTATTATAAATTTTACTTCAATTTTACTTCAGAGCCACATGTATGTGCTAAAAGAGCCACAGTTTGCCAACCTATGGCTTAGGTCAAAGGGCTTAACCATGCTAGGCCATGGTACCTTGAGAGAGAGAAGCCCCAGATGATCCCACAGTTCAGTTACCTCTACATAAATTGTGGGAGAAAGAGGAGGCTTTCTAATCCCATCCAAAGTTACAGTCTTGGAAACCCACAGGGCCAGTTCTACCTTGTCCTATCAGGTTGCTATGAGTTGGAGTTAACTCAATGGCAGTGAGTTGAATTTTTCTATACAAATTTATGCTAATTACCGAGAAATAATTTCATCATCCAAGAAGAAACATAATCCCATATTATCTAATTTTCTTTTTACAAGGAGATAGCCTAAAACAGTGCTATACTTGACATAATTTGAATCCAGCTTCTCTTTGAATAAAATAACAGTTATGATTCTTTTTTATAATATTTCAAAGGAAAATATACATTACTTAAACCATATCTTGCCCTGTTTTTTAAATAACATCTTTATATTTTCTTCATCTCTATTTACAAAACAAATACATTACTTACATTATACTCTCTCTCTCTTTTTTAAGACAGTTAACTTCTGTTGATCTTGCCCCATGTGTGCACATGAGTACTTTTCATTTTTTTCTATTTACTAGAATAATACATCCTTTATTTATATGCATCATAGCTATCGCTCATGTAACTGTCATGAGAAATGCGCCCATTTCATATCCATACTCCTTTTATTAACATGTCAATATAGCATTGAGAAAACAGCAATTTTTTTATGAAACGGTTTATCTAAAATGTCAGCTATTTATACTCTTACAGATTGAGAGACATGACAACTGTGCCTATGACTACGTAGAAGTTCGAGATGGAAGCAGCGGAAATAGTCCTTTAATAGGGCGCTTCTGTGGTTATGATAAACCTGAAGATATAAGGTCAACCGCCAATACCCTGTGGATGAAGTTTGTTTCTGATGGAACTGTAAACAAAGCTGGGTTTGCTGCTACTTTTTTTAAAGGTAAATTTGAAATAATTTATAAATGTGAGGTTTTCTTTTTTAGAGGTTACCATGATGTTTATATTTCATTTAAAGCTGAATTATAGTGTTGAAATCTTAAGAATGCAAAGTTTATAAGGATATTTAGGAGATTTTTTAAATTAAAAAACTTACTAGATGAGTTCTGGTATCTGAAACTTTGTTGAGAAGAAAGAGCAGGGAGCCTCTAATATCAGTATTTATCAAACAGTCAAAATAGCACAACACAGAAAAAGGAATTTGAATAGGGAGAACATCGCAATTAACAAAGAATTCACAAGCAGAAAATGGCTTACTGATGCATAGTTTTTCAGTTTATTTCCAACTCATGGATTTTCTAAACCAACTCTTACAGTGTAACCTCCTTGGCAGAATATGCTGATATCAAAGGTATTTTTCTTTACAAAAATGACTACTGACCACCTTTAATTTTCCACGGCATCACAATGATTTGATTTTTTGGTTCTTTGATGCCTGATACCGGATTTCTTTGATACCTCATGATCACACAGGCTGGTGTGCTTTTTCCATGTGGGCTTTGTTGCTTCTAAGCTAGATGGCCACTTGTTTACCTTCAAGTCTTTAAGACCCTAGATGCTGTATCTTTGAAACCCTAATGAAGGCTGAGCATGATATTGGGACAAGAGGAAAGTAAAAGGAAATAGAGGAAAGAGCTAGGAGGCAAAGGCATTTATAGAGGTTTAAATAAAGGCATGTACATATGCAAATATATTTAAATATGAGGATGGGGAAATAGATCTATATGCATATATTTATAGGTTTACTATCAAGGGAGCAGATGGACATTGGGCCTCCACGCAAGTACTCCCTCAATGCAAGAATACTTTGTTCTATTAAACTGGCATTCCATGATGCTCACCTTCCCAACACAATCACTGAAGACAAAGATGGTACATAAGCAAATGTGGTGAAAAGAGCTGATGGAGCCCAGCTATCAAATAACTTTTTCTTAAAAGCAGTTTTGTTCGCACCTCATTGATTGTGATGGCAGATTTAACAGAACAGTGTGTGACTGTGAAATTTTGTTTCCTACTTGGGAAAAATGCTGCAGAAACTGTTGTGATGTGGAACACAGTTTACAAGGACAGCACAATGGGAAGATCTCAAGTGTACAAGTAGTTTTCTCATTTCAAAAATGTTGAAATGTCGATTGATGACAAACCTCATTCTGGATGTCTGTCAACTTCTCAAATGGACAAAAATGTTGACAAAATTCATGCACTTGTGCTCAAAGATCATCTATGGACATTGAAGGGATGGGGAAGTTATACGGACTATCATGGACCTCAGTTTTGCAAATTTTAACAGAAGATTTGAGAATGATGAAGGGTGGCTGTGAGATTTGTGCCTCAGGTTCTGATTGATCAAGAAAAAGAGCATTGAGTGGAAACATGCTGTGCTTTGAAAGAACAGCTCTGAAGCGACACAGACATTTTTTCCATGATCAATACTGGTGATGAGACGTGGTGCTATTCTTACAACCCTGAAAGCAAACATCAATCAAAGCAGTGGAAGATGCCATTGTCACCTTTCCCCCAAACAGCTTGTCAGGTGAAATCAAAAAGCAAGATGATGCTCATTTGTTTCTATTTAATGTGAGGGGATAGTGCATTTGGAATTTGTTTTGTTTTGTTTTTTAATGTGAGGGGATAGCGCATTTGGAGTTCTTTTTACTATGTCAGACTGTTAATCAAGCTTTCTATTTAGAGGTTCTGAAAAGATAGCTAACAGTGTGTGACAAAAAAGGCTTAATTTGTGGCAGACGGGGACTGGTTTTGCCACCATAACAATGTACCTATTCATGCAGCTATCTCAGTGTGCCTGTTTTTTGCAAAAAACAACATGCCTTTCTTGCCCCATGCACTTGACTCACCTGAGCTCGCATATGCGACTTCTTTTTGTTTCCACAAATGAAGTGGGACATAAAAGGATACTGATTTGACAGCAATGTAGAAAAGGTGAAAAACAATATGATGGAGATGCTGTCAGCCATCCAAACAGATGAGTTTGAAAAATGTTTCCAGGAATAGAATCACTGATTTGACAAATGTACTAAGTGTAATAGAGATAAAGTTGTTTTGTAAAAAAAGTTTTAAATACATATCTTTTGAGGGGGGATTCCAACTTGGGGGGTGTACCCTCATCATATATGTGTATATTATATATAGTTATGTAATAGATTTTCCCTGAAAATTACTTTGCATTGGCCATATGAAATTATAAAGCAGAGAACCTTGGTATTTTTTTTGTATGTTGTGATACTGTATATAGTAAAAATATCATTTCTAGTAAAGCATTTTTTGAAATATATACTTACATGTTTTACCTTTTCTATATGTGTGATATTTCACAGTAAAAGAAATATGCTATTAAGTCTCTTATGTGAGATTTAAAAATGTGTTTATTAAAATGCCTATATTTTGTAGATGCATAATTTCTCAGAAGATATTGTTTACCTCTGTTAAAACTTTTATTGAAGAATTCCTAAAGAGTTTTTTCCTAATTTAGTATACTTCATATATTTTATAATGTTCTCATATTCAATTAAAACTGCATATATTTTATAAGAATAATAGTACATTTTGTAACAAAAAATATAAAAATATTGATCCTACTGGCTTTAAAAAGTTCACTTGTTTCAAAGTTTTATTTTGTTTGCTTCATTTTAAAATTTATATTTACCACAGTGCATTTCTTAGTAATAATATTCCCTTAAATTGTTTTTCAAAATATATCTAGGAAACCACAGTATACCATGCACTAACAAGTAAAGTTAAAGATTTTCGGTATTTTTTTCCATTTCATTCCAAAAAATATCACTGAGTTTTAATAATCATTGTTTGAACCTTGAATTCAGATAAAAGTCACAAATTGAATCTCTATGAAAATGATCTCAGTTGTCCATGCTATAGGTTTCAACTCTTTCTTTTAATTCTCATGCAATGCGATTTTTAGTTTAAGGCAACATGAATTTGTGTTCATCATTTATAAAGGCCTATAAAACTGATGCTGTATTTTTTTTCTGGAAAAAAACAACAACCAGTTGACCCAGTTTATTCAAGGCCATTAAATTTAACCTTTAAAAATATTCCCAAATAGTCAAACCAAACTTTAGTTGCTATATAATTTTCACCTCTTTATAGAGGAGGATGAGTGTGCAAAACCTGATCGAGGTGGTTGTGAACAGCGTTGCCTCAACACTCTTGGAAGCTATCAATGTGCGTGCGAACCTGGATATGAGTTGGCACTGGACAAAAGGACCTGTGAAGGTAAGACTTGAGTTGCATGGTTCCTTTTATGGAATCAAACCTCTCCTTCTGTGGTCAGCTGGACGAGGTGTGTGGGTGTGTGTTACCATAGTGATCCTCTGTGTCAGGGTGGAACTGTGTTCCACTTGGTTTTCAGCAGCTGATTTTTTTAGAAATACATAGGCAGGCTTTTCTCCTGACAAGCCTAATTGTGGAGTCCACATGTAATATTCATATATACCAACTGCCATCAGGCCTATTCCAACTCATAGCAATGCCATAGGACAAAGTAGAACTGCTTTCTAGGGTTTCCTTGGCAGTAAATCTTTACAGGAGAACATCACCTCACTTGCAGAATATGTGGTTGAGTTGAACTGCTGGCCTTACTGTCAACAACTGATGCTGAACCCAAACTCAATCACACTCCTTGCCACTGAGTTCTTATATCCAGAGAGAAACATGTAGAATACAAATACCAACTACTTTAGGTAACTCAGACTCCTTAGGAATTAATTATTAATTGTAGTAAATTATTAGCAATTTACTAATTCCTAATTAGTAAATTATGAATTGTAGTAAAATGTTATTTTTGCTTCACAGGCTTTAGAATACTCTAATTTGGCCAATTTCTTTATTATTTAGATGCTCTGATCAGAATAGAAAAATATATAGCACATTTCTATGAAAATTATATTTAAAAGGGAAAAATTGAAACACATTACTTAAGTGTTTCTTTGAATAAAATGCATTATCTTATCAGAGTATATTACCAGCTAGAAATTTTAAGGAAATCAACTATAGATTTTTGTTTGATTATAGAAGACAGTGGTTTTTTTTTTCCATATATGTTTTTGTGAATTTGCACTACAAACCTCATATATATTTGCATGTATATACAGGTGCTATATCTATACTAGATATTCATGGATTTGATTCCATCTCATAGAGACCCTATAGAAAAGTGTAGAACTGCCCAAGAAGGTTTCTAAGATGATAAATCTTTACTGAAACAGAAAGCCCCATCTTTCTCCCATGGAGTGTTGCTGGTGAGTTTGAACTACTTACCTTAAGGGTAGCAGATCAATGTGTAACCCTGTAAGCCACTGGACTCCAGATATTATAGTCATTTAAAATATAAAATGAGCCCCAGCTTTATTTGCATTGCCCAACTTTTAACTAATCTAAAAAGTTGTAATACTGTAATAATTTGCTTATATGAAAAGCTACAAACTTTTATTCCTTTTTAAATTAGATCAGATCATTAAAGTACCTGTGCTAAAGTATAAGAAAATCTGAAAGATAACTCAGAGACTGAAACTTTCTACATTTCAATGCTGAAATAAGCTTTCAGCAGTATTTGTCATGCTGAGGTGCTTTGTGATCAATGACAAAGTATGCCTAGGTGTGATTTAAAAAAAAAAGAATACCTTTTCCTTTTATTTCTTCTAGCGGCTTGTGGAGGCCTTCTGACCAAGCTGAATGGCACCATCACCACACCAGGCTGGCCCAAGGAGTACCCTCCTAACAAAAACTGTGTGTGGCAAGTAGTCGCACCAACCCAACATAGAATTTCTATGAAGTTTGAGTTTTTTGAACTGGAAGGCAACGAAGTGAGTGAACAATAAATGCAGCTATTCATATCATGTTTTGGTAATTCTAAAGCCAAACTGAAAAGAAAATCTAAACAAAAATGAATGCATTTATTATTATAATGTTATAGTTTTATTTTTTTGTCAATTGCTCATTGCTCATTTCTGTTTGTGATTTTTAAAACCACTGCTTATGACTTTGTGTGTGGGGGGTGGATGGGTGGTGGGATTATGTAATATTTTGAACTACTTAGGTGAGATTGAAAATATGTTTAATATATCCCATTCCTTGATTTATTAAAGAACTGAAATATTTAGGGTTGATTGAATGTCACATAGACCTTTATGGAAAAAATAAATCAACATCAACTGATTGAGTCATAGTAAAAAATATCCATTTAGGTGAACCTGCTATATTTTAGCTATAGAAATGATATATTTTCATTATATAAAGTTTATTATTATGCATATGCTTATGATTCATAAAAAGATTGAGCTGTTAGACTTCAATAAAATGCATTTAGATGAAACTACCTTTCTTTCATTAAGTTAACTGTTATGAGACCATTTTTAAACAAGTAAAATCACTTATTTGAAAATGATTATGTGCTAATAAGCACATACTATATTCTAATGGAATGCCACGCCTAGAAATAAGAATGTTTGGAAATGTGTCCTTTGTATGATCAACATAGTTTGTTTAATTTATATACCTGCAGACTCTGAGCTTAGTGGGACTTTTGAAATTATTTTTATATTTCATGTAAGTTTTATAGTAAATAATCATAAATTTTCTATTTTTATGATATGTTATCCACATAAAATGCTATTTCCTTCAATAATTATCTCAAATGTGAGGAAATGTTAAACTGAATAAAATAACTGGCATAGTGTTTTTGAGAAAGCTTTCGTATAAGCCTTGCTCTTTGAAAATGAGAATTTTCCTGAAAAGTCTATGATTTGATATGAACTTGGTGTTGGATGATTTCTAGTTTCATGGTTTACCTTAAATTGATTAGTTTGCACAAGGATGACATTTGGTGCATGTAGATGTCTCTGATAAGAATAGAAGTTTGTGTTCTGGAAGGATCATTGATGAGTTTTGTATAAAGAGAAGATTGTGCTCTTAAAGCATAATTTTCATAGTAAGTCTTTATTCATAGACAAGCCCTTTGAAAACTCTCTAATATGCCCCAGAATTCTTTAATAGGCAGTGACATTATTATGTGGAATGATGTTACAGAATATGGTGCATTTTCATAGTTTATTATCTTAGTTGCATAAAATTAAAATCCTGAGCAAAAACTTGATTTATAGAATATATAGTTGTAGTTTAAGCTGCATTAACCTATTAATTACATTGGTAATCAAAAGGAAAGTCAATTGCAGACAGCTCAGTCCTGGACCATTATTTTGTGCTTTAAAATTCTCTCTGAACAAATATGACAATTAAAATAAAGTAGATAGAAAAAAAATTGATTTTCCCTAAAGCATGTTCCTTATATATCACCTATATCACAAGAACCAGTTGTTTGAGTTGATACAGTGCAAGATACAGGCTGTGTCTAGGGCTCATCACATACATTGTTAAACTGTCCTAATTACACAATTACGTAATAAGATTATTCATACAAGATGTGTTCTTTAAAATGTGCTCTATAGGAACTTTGAAAGAGTGTGTTATGGAAATAGCTGTTGGTGGCCATAAAATTACGTAAGAGTACCTGGCATTCGCTCAATTGCTTTCATTTTGGTGGTATAAATGAGATGATGATTTAGTGCTATAAATCAGAATGAATTTATATGAATATGAATACATCATTTTTATATAAACTCTTGCCTCATCTCACTGAATAAGAGCCTAATTGTTTACCTCAAAGCAATACTACAGGGTAATTATTTAGCAATTCAAAGAAACTAAGAATTAATTCTTAACTAACTAAAAGAAACTTTTAATGAGTTTAAAAGGCAAACAGTGGTTTTTATTATCTATTGTTTACTTTGAAAGTTATTACTAGTGTCACTCTGCTTAGAATGTAGTGTTTGTGGGCACAACACCAGTCCATGCAAACCTCTGTTGCTGTTACTCATTGTGGTTCTACACAGAAAGAGTATACTTTTTGATAAAATATGCAAACTTTTCTAAACATCAATTTTCCCCTCTACAATGCAGAGGATTACTTCTGTTGATTATTGTTTACTAGACTAAATGTATCCATTTTCTATCATTGTTGTGAGCAGTAATTAAAATAGTACTTGAAAGGTGTTTTGTCAGTTCTTAGTGAAAACTTGAAAATAAAAAAAATGCATAAGAAAGTAGCTGCTGCTTTCCTTGTGATAACCAAGACCACCGTTTAACAATTATTTATCTCTGGTCCTTGTTCTTTTGTATATTTTGGAAAGATGCATGCTATGAACACATACAAACAAGTCTGAATTTGCATATCATTCTTAGTAATAAAGCAAAATTCTCTAGTTTGTTTTTCATGCCTTTGCCTCATATATTTTTTATTTTCTTCATTTTTTATTATCTATTAAATTCAGTTTGATAACCAGAGAACACGAAAACATGATGCATAAAAAATAAATTCCAGTCATCTAGTCTTCTCAACTCTGGTGACTACAATATCCGTGTCTTTCATAGGTTTGCAAATATGATTATGTGGAGATCTGGAGTGGCCTTTCTTCGGAGTCAAAATTGCATGGCAAATTCTGTGGTGCTGAAGTGCCTGAAGTAATCACGTCGCAGTTCAATAACATGAGAATTGAATTCAAATCTGACAATACTGTATCCAAAAAAGGCTTCAAAGCACATTTTTTCTCAGGTATGAATATTCACATCCTGTATTCAGTAGTAGAATTCTCACTCTCCATTTAGGAGATTGGGGTTTGATTCCCAGACATTATGCCACAAGCTCTTTCACTATCCCTGTGTCAGGGGAGGCTGACGGGTTACCATGATGCTGATCAAGTTTACAAAGAACTATACAGACTAAAATGAGCCCTGGTGGTGTCAGTGATTACCCATTGAGCTGTGATCCCCAACGTCAGCATTTCAAAACCACCAGCCAGCTAAGAGGGAGAAAGACTGGCTTTCTACTCTAATTAAGAGGTACAGTCTCTGAAACTCACAAGGGCAGTTCTACCCTGTTTTATAGAGTCCCCATGAGTCAGAATTGACAGTGGTTTGGTTTTTTGTTTGTTTTTTAAGATCTAGACCAAGACACATGAGGCAGAAAAGGCTGGCAATCTACTTCCAAAGCACAGTCAATGGAAATCTTATGATCACAATGACCCACTTCTGTTGTGCATGTCCCCGTCCCCCTCCCCGCCCCCCAATCAGAGGCTAGCTTAATGGCAGCCAGCAACAATGTGCATGCATATACTTTTTCAGGCAGATTGGTGTAAATCACATCCTAGCTGTTCGTTATCATTTTCGGTAAAAGTGATTTGGAGGAACATAGATTGCATGCCTACCTATGCATGATACTTTGTTGTCTATATAAGAATGTTAATAATAGGAGCCCTTATGTACTCCTGAATAAGAGTACTTACCCAAAACCTGGATGTTATATAAAACAGTCAAATATTATAGAGCCAGGTACAGACAACACAAAAATATTTATAATTATATTTCATATTACAACTTTACTCTTTATTGTGATGGAGAATCATAACTGACTTCCAAAAACCTAGAAGATAATTAAAAAATTATCTTTGTGTATGTTCTCATTTTAACAACATAGCTTTCATTCTTACTATTTAGCAACATACTCATTATTAACATTGTATTTTTAGTCTAATTATTAGCTTAAAACTAAATCAAGTCACTTTACCTTATCACAATAGAAATTGTTAAAAATGAAAAGATATATAGACATTATGATTTTATTACAGATAATATGTTTTTAAGGATATGTAATGGTTGATCCCTGTGTGATTGGAATTCAGTGTTTAGTTCAACCAATTCAAAGTAAAATTTCTCTTTTCAAGAGCTGAAGTTTTACAAAATGTTCTAACTTTTTAAGAAATCTATGTAAATAAAAGTGAATTACCTTATTTTCTCCACGTCAGAATCACTGCCATATAAACTTGTCATTCTAAAAACCTCAAAAATAGATAAAACAGAAATAACCTTAATGTAGTAAATGATTCTGTTTTTCAGCATGGCTAGCAATTCTAAACACCTGAATTTCAATTGTGTTTTAATTTTAAGTAATTTGCATTGGGTTAATTCCAAGTCCATTTATTCTAGGTCCCATGTGTTTAAAGTGAATGCGATGAACAATCTCCAGGGTTTGTTTGGGGTAGCAGTGTAATTGAAATGAAGGTTCACAAGCTCCATAGAGGTTCAAATTATATACAAAGCATACCCAAATAAATGGAAACCAGACCCCTTGTTCTCTCTTCTTCTTTTTACCTGGAATTCTATCATTTTAATAACCTTTTAAAGGTTCTCTTTGGCACTAATTCAATATTTATGTTACATAAAGAAGAATTTTTAACAAAAAAAGAAGATTCTCTTAGATTTCACTTTTTATAATTATATATTTACAATTTTTTGTGAACTGATGGTCAGATAAGACTACTTAGCTTACAATCACCTGAATAATTAGTTGATTTTTTAAATTATAAAGTGAATATATTTTTTCCCACAATAACAATATATTCAGAATATTTTTAAAGTTAAAGATTTTTATTTAGCAATTCTTAAAAGTAAATTTGAAGACCTCTCTTCTGAGGGATCTTCAACAATATAATGGAAATATATATTATTAATAACTGCATGGTTATCAATTATGTGTGCAGCAAAATAAACTTGTACTAACTTGTTAAAAATAAAGTTGAAGACAATATATACACTGTCTACAAAGTACGATTACTTTGGGTTATTTGAAGATAACCCAAAACCTTTGGTTTAAGTAGCATCCATAACAGAGACCCTGTAATCCAAATGCTTAACAGCTCTAATGCCAGCTGAAAGGCTGGAGGTTTGAACTGACCCAGAGGCAACTCTGACAACAGCATTGATTGGCTGCTGAAAGATTAAACAATAATAATAATAATCAATAACAATAAAATATATCGCTGTCTCTTCAAATTCCTTTCATAGTTAACTGATAAAACAGAGTAGAATCCCCCCCACCCCAGGGCTTCCAAGGCTGTCAATCTTTCCAGAAAAACATTGCCACGTCTTTGTCCTAACGTGGTTGTTGGGTACGACACTTGGACTTTTTGGTTAGTAACTGAATACTTAACTGAGTCACAAGAGCTCCTCCTGAAAGAATGCCCCGTTGAAAACTGTGGAGCACAATTCTACTCTGGTACAATGGATGTGCCATGAATTGAAAAGAAGTGCACACCAATAACAACGGCATACTGAAATATAAAGTTCTCTTTCTGATATTTTTGGTTAGGAAAAACTTCCCAAATGGTACATACAGATTATTTAATTTGCATCTTTAGCACTATATTATTGCAATATAAGTTATGCATCTTTAATTCTTACAATACAGATCTTAAAGCATAATATATAAGAGTTTAAGTATTGCTACTTATTGTTAAGTATTGCTGTGATCTATAAAATTAACAGTACTTTGGTGAGCGGTTAAGATCATAATAGCTAATTAACATGTAAATTACATTAACTGATATAAATCATCTGGGAAATAATCTCCTATTGCCTGTTTTCTATATTCATAAATGCTTTTTATTTTCATTCTAAATGCATTACTAGATAAGACTTCATTTTGTAAAAGCCTGGCTAATATTATTTGATAGAGTGTAGGCAGTTAAGGTAAGTAAATTGAAGAATAATATTCAAGAGAGTTGTACTCAAAATTTTCACATTATAGCTGCCATTTTTGAGAACTCCTTCTGCAGGCACACATTATTTCTTTTAATAATAACATGTCTTCAATATTCTAATTGGTATTTCATTTGAGAGATGAAAAAACTGTGAAGAGTTAAGTAAATTGCTCAATTTCACATAGTATTTCAAATGTCTTGCTTCACAGATCATTTTATTAATTACAAGAGCTGATCAAACCCTATGCAAATTACATTAATTATGTGCTACATTCAATATGTTTAAGACCTGGAAAACAGCAAGAGATATATTTCCATTACATATATATGTATATATTAATATATATATCCCTTACATATATATTTTTTTAATTCCAAGATAAATTTATAAATTTTCAGTGTCCACTGTTCAATTCAGTGAAAAGTCTTAGTAATCTGTCATGTTCATTGTTTAAAATGCTGTGGTTTTCCATGAGTAATTGGACTCATTTCACATTCAAATTTCTGGAAATATCTGTTAGTGAGTATGATATTTCCACAGGAAACGGGAAAATAAATACACAATATTTCTATTAAATAGCTGGTTTAGTACAAGTATCACAAATATTATCACAATTATTAAGAAGGCAACAAATAAGGACTTAGGTAATAATTGTGATTTTTCTAATTAGGATAATTACACAAAATCATAATTTATGAGTATGAATTTTAATAGATAAGTTCTATTTACATTATACATGTTATCTTCACATACTCCCATTCTTTGCTGTTATAATATTATCATTTAAATTTATAAATTATGTAGGATAACTCTATTCATTAGAAAATGAGTAGGAAAGTCAAAGAGATACTACAGATTGTATACATCACAGTAAGATGGATAGGAGATTTATGTTACTAGTATTGAGAATACTTAAAAATACGTAATTAGCCTCTCTTGCCCCCGGCCCCGGGGCCGGAGCAGTCATGGTTCCCGGGTGAGGTACTGCGTCCCCGGCGAACATCTGTGTAACTTGGAGGAGGGCAGCCCGGGCAGCGGCACGTACACCCTGCATGGCCAAGAGCAGCGAGAACGCCGCGCTGCCTGGGGTGTCTGTGATGAGAGAGACGACGACGGAGTCCCAGTTAATGCCGACAGTGGGGGCTGTTGTAACCCGTAAGGTTTCCAGCATCGATTCCAGCTTTGCCAACGTGCACATTCTCTACGCAGGGTCCACGCCCCTTAAGAACTCTTTTCGAGGAACTACCCGCAAGGAAGATATCCGAGCTACTGAAAAAGACTAGGTTGAAATTGATAAGACTTTCCGCCCAGGTGACATTGTCTTGGCCAAAGTGATCACTCTAGGTGATGCACAGTCCAACTACCTGCTGACCACAGCGGAGAATGAGCTGGGCGTGGTGGTGGGCCACAGTGAATCAGGTGTCCAGATGGTTCCCATCAGCAGGTGTGAAATGCAGCCCCCCAAAACCCACACTAAGGAATTCCGGAAAGCGGCGCGCGTCCAGCCCGAGTTGCTGCAGACCTAAGGAGCCTCTCCTCCACGCACAGAGGGCCGCGGCCTGACTCCAAGAGGATATGCGTGAAAATAGCACCATGACGCCACTGTCTTTAGTCAGACCCTAGAGCCTCCAGAGGGATCTGCCAGCCCTGTGCTCTGTCAGCAGGGCATTCTGGACCTGCCTGTGGGTTCAGCTCTCCAGGGAGGAAGCACCTCTTCTCCAGGCATCAGCACATCAGCCGTGTAATGCCGTGTAAAGCCTTCGCCTCACACCTTATAAATACGTGGTTTTTCACTGTGACAAAGATCATTTTTATTAAAAGGCCTTTATCGTTTCAAAAAAATGCCTAATTAGGTTTATCATGACAAATTATTTAGAATGAAATTTAACAGATGAATCAGAAGTTATTAAAATACTCTATTTTGCCTCAAAAGTCTCACTTGGGACTCATAAGTAAATAATACTCATTTGGAATAAGGTCCATTTAATGTGATAGACAGAAACTGGTTTACCTCGG